ACAAGGACGCACAGCCACTCGTTTACACACACATACACACTGGTACACTTGTCTGCACTCACACACATACACATTCACGCACACATACTAAAGGTACTCACATCGTGAAATACTGACATGCTCACGTGTTCACAAACACACTCTGGATGTACCACACGTGGATACTGTGCACCTTCTCTTGCTGTAACACTCTGACACACTCACACACACCTCCCCAGGTGGCCTGAGGGCCTCAGTCACTCCTCCCTTTCACAAGCTGCCTTCTCTGACCCATGACAATGTGCTCTGGTGCCTGTGGCGTGAACAGGCTCATACTTGAAAAAATGGTAAAAAAAAAAAAAAAAAAGACTCCTGGGCCACACAGAGCTTAGTGAGAAAGTGGAGCGTTCCCAGCTGTGCTGTGCACTCAGCTCAGAGCTGGAGCCGACCTATATAACATGTGTCGGGGGCAGGCTGTGATCCCGTGAAGAATATGAGACCATATGGAGTTCAAAGTCACGACCCTCTTAAAGACCCAGTCATCCTCAGTTAAGTGGAGGCCCGTGTTTCCAGGGCACCAGCTTCTTTTTGTATCCCCTGTGTGTCAGGCTTAGGGATTGGCCTGAGGCACCATGATCATAAGACCCATGCTCCATCCTCTGGAGTCAACAGAGACATCCGGCAGATCCCATGAGGTGTCGGAGGAAGCACTGCTGCCTTTCTGCCCTGGTAGACCTTCCTTCCCTGAGTCTGTCTTCTATCACCAGGGCACATTTTCAGGGCTTTGGAGGTGCTCTGCTCACAGGAGAATTATAAGGACAAGGAAAGTCTGTGGGTGGTGGGGTGTCCCAATGCCACTGCCCTCTGCCTGCTCCCTGCAGCCCACCTCCATCCCCAAGACTCCTCTGGCCCATGCAACCAGACCTTCCTAAGGGACAGAGGAGGGGCAGCCTGGGAAAGGCAGATGTAGAGTCTTGGGAACAGCGTCTCCCCCCGGAAGCATCTGCTGTTCTCACTGAAGACTGAAACTCAGGATGCCGGAGAACAGTGGTGCTAGGCAGCAATCTTGGAGGGAGGAGGGAATGCAGAGGGTCAGGAGGGATCCATCTATGCTGGGTTTGGGCTGGAATCTGGGTTTCAAGGGGAGGGTAAGGCTGTGTTGGGTTAGGGACTTTAAGCCTTGGCTCTGAGACCATGTTGAATGGACTCTGGCAGGGAGATGATCCTGTTGGTGCCTCCTGTGTCCACCCCTGTGTGGTCTCCCCTTGACTCCCATGGAGTGAGACTCTTGTTTTGGTCCTAAGCCCTACAATGGCTGTGCCAACTCCTTGCACCTTGGGCCATCTCCCCATAAGACCCTTGTTGCAGAGGCCTCCTGGGCAGGTCTGGAGGGGAGGCCAGTACAGCAGGGAAAAGCCAGTAGTCCTGGCCTTTAACTGACCTGCCATGTCAGGGAGGTCACACAGATGACCACCAAGCAGACCAGCAAAAGGATCAGCACTGAGCCCTTTGGCTACTATTGCTGGCACATGAAGTGGTCATTGTTTTGATCCCAAAGTTTTGGAGTGACTTTTATGGAGCAACAAAAGCCAAAACAGGTTTCAGTCAGCTTTCAAAACACCGCCACAGAACAGAGAGCAGCTTCACAAAGAGGAGCCACATCAACATCAGCACCCACAGTTGGGCAGAGCTCAACATCTAGAATCCAGGACCCTGCCCTCTGTCTGCCTCAGCCGATCACCACAGGAGGGTGGTGCAGCCTCACGTGGGTGTGTCAGTGTGCTCACTGCGTAGCGGGTTAGTTCATGCTGCTTCCAGGGTTCACACTCACCCAAAACATGTGCTCTAATTCACGGGTCTGAAAACAGCCACCCTGGGGGCATGGCTATAGTCACCACCCATGCTGGACATCTGCAGGATTGAGCTACTGGGCCTCCAACACCACCAGGTCTCCTGCCTGGACACGTGACCCTATGGAGGTGACTACATGTCTCAGAATGGCCCGCCACCTTGGCTCCTTGGATAAATGTTCTCCATGGACTTTCATCGTTGGAAATCATCTAAACTGGAGGCATGAACGCTCCACTTGCATCCTTGAAAGGAAGGCTTATTTCAACCTACAGCCAATCGTCCACACAGGGAAAAGCCATAGCATCCTCCAGGAGCCAAAGTTGCACTGCTTGCCACCCTGTGACACTGGCCCTTCCATTCCAGGGGGACCAGCTGATATTCATGTCCTCAGAAGGGACCACAAGGGTGCTGGCCCCATCTGCTGAGTATAGCAGCACAGTGGCAGGATGAAGGATACATGGGGACCCACTCTGACATCCTGCCTTAGTCACTGTGAGAGAATCTCAACCCACCTTGGGCACGGCACCCTCCCCACCACAGCCTCACAGGCAGTGAAGCCCTCAGAAGCAACAAGTCCCTGAGTGCTGTGAACCAGAGTACCAAACAGCAGTCAGCAAGATCTCAAGGAAGGGTGTCCTGTGTCACACAAAGGAGGCCACACGGAAGCCTAAGTCAACTGCTTTCTGAGCACCTGACTTGACAATGTTCACAGCAGCCACAAGGTCCCTTCCAGAGAAACCAGCTGGTTTGCAGCTTCTACGACAAAGTCACCAGCTTATGTCCCAGCCTGGTCCTACTGTGAGCAGCAGTTTAAAAACAGAATCTTAAAATGAACCAGAAGTCTCATCAGAAGACAAAAGGGCAAATATGTTTTGAAATTGTGTTCAGTGGTTTCTCGAAAAAAAAAAAAAAAAAAAACTAGAAAAAGCTTGTCATCAAGATGAGCGTGGGAGGTGTTGACACCAACAGCAATGATGCTTAGGAAATCAAATATAAAGGAAGAAAACTATGTAGATAGATGTCGGCTCTTTTCTCTTAAAAACCTACAATTTGCATGTGCACATGCATATGGATATGCAAATAATCTATTTAAACATTAAAAGTGAAATAAATGCCAAATGTGCTCTACATATGGACAGCAATGTTCCCACACTGACAAGCTCACGGTGTGGTGTGCATTTATGTGACATCTGCCTTCTGTATACCAGACCTCATTACATGCCTTCTGTATACCAGATCTCAGCTGGTACTGGGCAGAGTGGGTTAGGAACCAGCCCTCGACTTCATGAGCTGAGGTTTAAGGTAGGAATAAGCCAGGACACTTGTTACCTGGAGCCCTGCACACCTAGTGGGCAGAAGACTGAACCTTGCTGCTGTAAGCCGGGCTCTGACATGGCTGCCTACTGGGTCACTGTGACTCTGACCTCCCAGGAGCTGCCGCCATCTACAGCCATGGTCAGCAGCACCTGGCAGAAGGTGCTTCCTGAAGAGCCTTAAACAGGCAAGAAAGCTGTCAGGACCCTGCCTGTGACAAAGCCACTAGGCACTGTGGCTCCACTCGATTTGACCACAAATGTCCCACTGTGCAAAGGGCAAAATGTGCCATGTCTGACTCTCCTCCTCACTTAGAGGCATGCCTGAGACTCTGAAGGTTAAATTATTTCAGAATTAACCTCCTCCAGAGAAGGGCATGGGCAATGCAAATTCTCCTTATTGTTGCCCTTAGTTGGGTTTTCTCTATAATTTAAAACATATTCTCCAATTACGTGCATGATTACAGAGGCAAGCCAAGTTCAATGCGAAAGACTGTATGCCAGTGTTGACTGAAGTGCTTAAGTTCCCGTGAATGTACAAAATCAACATCCCATTATGGAGGCTAAATGCCTTGGTGGTTTTTGATGATTAGAATAAGTACTGGACTGGCCGCCTCTAAGAAAATTCTAGTTGGTTAAGTGCGAGAAAGAAAACAAGCCTTCAAAACACCAGCCTCTGCAGGTGCTGCTCTCAGTGTCCACCTGGGTGGGAGCACCATCCCCGGGAAACCTCTCCTGGGAGAGGACAAGGTCCCAGCTCCACACAGGGACCCAGTTCCAAAAACCCAACTCTGAACAGTCATTGTAGATGGGAGGCTCTGTGTGTAACCCCATGAAGACAGAGGCCCTCTCTGGGTCATGGCACTTTCACCCTCAGCCATCTGAGTCCCTCCTCTGTGGCTTATCCATCTTTCTTTGAAACCAAGTGTCAGTGAGCACAGACCCTTTGTCTTGGGCCCAGCAGTAGTCACTGTCTGGCCCAACCAAGCACTTGTCTCCACCTGGAGCCAGTGAGGTCCTCACCATCCTAGGACAGCCAAGTGTCTGAATGAAGTGGCCTGAGCTGCGATCCTTGGTCTGTCACAGGACATTGGCCTCTACAGGTGGCCCAGACACAAGGACTCCATGAAAACACAACACCCCACCCACTCCAAACTTACACCTGACACCAGAGGCCAATCAAGGCATTTCTTGCCTGGGTCAGTGTGAGCACAGCTGAGTCCCTGGATACATGGCACCTCCCAGGGGCTCCTCAGGATGACTAGACCTTCCTGTGGGGTCTCTGGAGTCAGATACCACACACACAGACATACACGCCTAGGACTGTGGCACCGAAGGTCAGGATGACAAAGAGAACAGCAGCCCTTGGGCAGGCACCACAAAGATCGACGGGCCCATGCTTGTGCCTGTCCCCTCCCAGGAGCCCTGGGAGATCCCCCAGAAGCAGAAGACAAGAGGTATTCAGCAAAGCACACCAAAGCGGAAAGACTGGGAAGAAGTACTGGGAACTCAAGAGAGGAGGTAGCCCTGGGTGCCTACTCCAGGCAGGCAGAGGACCAAGAGTACAGTGAATGGATCCTCTGGGCACCCAACACAGGTTTCCTTAATACTGACAGTAAAATTTGAAAGAATGGGACTGGAGAACTCCAAAAATAGACTCTGACCTGCCTGACAGCAGCAAAAAAACTTACTGCAGGCTACTCAGAGCCATCATGAGCTGTGTACCCTGCCCTGCCCTGCCCTATGACCATACACAGATGAACCATGCAGGTGGACAGCCCGCACCCAAACAGCCAGGAGTCAATTCCCACCAGCACCCAAGGCAGGAAACTCAGACAGTTCCTTAAAAGAACATACCTGGAGCCTTCTCCACGAAAATGACCTTGGAGTCTTGCAAGAAGTTGTGGCCAGACAGGATCATCTTCTTTCCACCAACAACTGGATAGCTGTCAGTGCTCTGTCTCTCCACAAGGGGCAGCTCCTGGGCTGACCGCTGGGCTGTGTCATAGGAGGGGAGGACAGTGAGTGAGTGGAGTGGGCCTTCCCCGTCTGGATGGAGCCTGGTCAGGGTGCTGGGGTCCCAGCAGTGCCCAGAATCCACAGGGCTGACCAGGCCCTGAAGTCTGTGGTGCGTGTCATACCACACCATGAGGAGGACAGAGAGTGGACTGCTCTAACTAAAGCAGGGAACCACAGTAAAATCCCCATCATGACCTTGGAAGCTAAAAGCACTGAGACCCCCAGGGCCAGTCCCTAAACACCTAGCTCCAGCTAGGGGCCCTTTGTGCTTAGAGTTGGGCAGGGGTCTGCAAAGGCTGACAGTCACAGGGTAGGAGCTGGGTCCCAGGAGGACACAGAGCAAAGAAGCATCCTATGAGGAAGATCCCTGCCATGAGACCCCCCCCCAGAAGGGCAAGAGACCCCAGGTCCAGGGGAGCTAGGAGTGGCGGGAGACTCCCAAAGGCAGCAAGGAGGGGCCATCTGGGAAGGGACCTCATCATCTGAGCAGAGGCTGATGAGGAGGGTGGCATTTCTGAGTTACCTGCCCAATACAGGTATCTTCAGATTCACTGGTCAGGAGACCCGGGTCAGGTCAGGCTCTGCCTCACAGAGGCTAGGTGGCAGTGTGGGAACAAAGGGGAGCGCAGGACCAGGGACCACTGGTTTTGGAGTTTGTGACTGAGGACAACTCAGCTCACTGCAGAGGACGGGTCAAGCAGGAGAGGGCTGGCTGGACATCCAGGTAGATGTGGTCAGCTCACACCCAGTGCTCTCACTGAGGGCTTACCACAGGGGAGTCAGGAGCTGAGGAGCTTTCTGTGTCAGCATGAAGCCAAAGACCCCATGGGTTGGGAAGGGGTATGCTGTAGATGACGAAGGCAGAGCAGCTAGAGAAGGGACAGAACAGTGGAGAAGGCACTGGATAGAGACAGGGACCAGAGCTGGCCACGTTTGTCTGATCCCCTTGTGGGTCTGGCTCATGCTCAATTCTCAGGACCAGTGAGGGGGGCTGTGGGGTATACAAGTGTGACAGGAGGGGATGCTGACATGGGGGCTCCTGTGTGTCTATGCAGAGCTTACCAGAGACCTGGCTCACTGACGGAGGGTTAGCCAAGCAGCTGGGACCCATTCCCAGGCCGTTCGTACCATCTACCTCAGCACCTGAGACTAGGAAGCCCCATCACACTCCACACACAAATTAAAGGGACAGAAACCTGTACCAGGAAAGATGAATAGTTCTGAATAGGATTACAGAAATCTGGTTTGGAGCCAGGAGTGTGGGTCTGTGGAGGAGGGCTTGCCTAGAACACACAAGACTCTGGTTTCTATTGCTGGCACCACGAACAATGGTGGTGGTGATGGTGATGATTTAGGCTTGTCCAGTGTGAAGGCTGCAGGGCCAAACTGCATTTTCTCAAATTGCCCAGAGCATAAAGAGGGACTTCACGCAAATGTGGTCTCTGCAACCCTTTCAGGACAAGGTTTTCTTTTTATTTCTCCTGTGGGCCCCAGGGTCAGGAGTGCTGTGATCTTTGGGTGGGTTCTCCATGGTACACAGCTACATTTGGGATCTGTGGCCCAGACAACCTTCTATGGTCAGCACAGAGGTCTGGTCTCCACCACGGGGTAGATGTTTTCCAGGGAACGCACACTAAAACAGACACGGGTGACTGCAGAGTTTTCGGTACACACGTCTATGCAAATAAAAGTAAAGACCGCGCAGACTGAACAAGAGTGCATGGCAACGGTCTCTGCCATCCATCCCTGGGATGTGCCAACACAGTCTACTTACAGCATTCGATGGGGTTCGAGGCCACTTGGAGGGACAGCATCCGGCCATTGGGCTGAGGGACATGGACTCGGAATACCAGTCGCACCCTGGTGTTCTTCCTCCCGATGTCAGTCTCCCCTTTCCTCAACTCAATGTCAGAGTTTCTGAGCTTCAGAATCCCAGCACAGTCGATGCTGTCCAGAACAAAAGGCATGGCTTTGCTTTAGTCCCTAACACCCGAACATGAGCTGTCCAATCCCCACACCCAGACCTCCCCATGACGGCCTGGCAGACTCATCCTGCCAGTCTGCTCCTGCTGGGTGCCCTCCCACCTCCCCAGGAGAAGCCTCCAGGTGAAGCCCGAGGCACTTGCCGAGGGCAGGCTGGATCCTCACAGTTGAGGCAGAAACTGAGCAGTTATGTGATGCACCTTCCACCAGGGACCCTACAGCCTGACACTACTGTCCAGACACTTCACGCCCTGGCTTGGCCATGGCGGACACCCCAGAGCAGCCTGGGGAGAGCCTGCAGGGACCGTCCTTCTCTGTGCGTCCAGAAGCTCCATCCATCCAAGGATTGGATCGTTATTTCCATTACTCAGTTTAAAATCCCTCATTCTCTTGTGAAACCCTTTTCTTCTAGGGTTTCATATAATTTCACTTTACTTCAAAATTTCATATAATTTCATTCAAATGTAGACTCCAGTAAAATGCTCCACGTTTAAATTCTCCATGCAATAAAAACAAATACTTTTCCATTCTCTATAAGCTAAGAGAATAAACGGTCAGATGTGCATGCATCTCCCATAACATCAGGTGGTCATGTGGGGACCAGCGTCAGCACACACAGTAAACTGGCCTTTGGGGTATGTCCAGGTCACTTGGGGCCATGTTTGCTGTGGGAATAAACACAGCAGTTGCTGGACTCAGAACTGTGGCTAAAAGAACATGAGGCTTCTCTCAGTCCCGCTTCTACCCAGTCCTTGGGAAACTTGGATTACAGCTTACAAAGCAAACCCAAGAATTTAGAACAAAGCCACTATGTGTAAATTCCCTTGGATCATGAAAAGCCAACTTGAAAAGAAAGCTTTCTGTTTGTTTTCTACTTAGAGGGCATAAAAGTTATAAAGACCCTATCAAATCCACACCAAGTTGGCATGATGCAGCCCCCAGCTGCTTCATCTCCTACCCTCTCCGCCACCACACTGGACCTGCTGTGCTAGCCTCCTCACTAGCCCCAAACGAACGCCCAGGCTCAATCCTGCCCCACAGCCTTCCCACATGCCGCCTGAAGGCTCTGCACAGCCCCTCCCGCACTTCCACCCTCATCTAATGCGACTCGTCTTCCTCAGACACGAGCCCTGACCTGCAGCTGAGAGCAGCACCCGCCCTGTCTCACCTATTTGCATATTTTCATTATGGCCACCTCATCCTTTGCCTGTCTATCTATTGTGCTTAGTAGCTGTCTTCCCCAGGGGGTCCCCAGCACAATGCAAATCCCATGGGCACAACCAGCTCACTTGCATTTTCAGTTCAGGACTGCTGGGTACAGCATCTAACAGTCACTTGATTCATAGGATTAACTGAATTCAATCCCATTTGATGTTATGTGATGTGTCTTCAGCTTAATGATAAATTTACTTTTAAACTCACTGCAGTACCAGGTTGACTCTTTAGGTCAGAACTGTCAGCAATGTTGACAACGCTCAACTCTGGTTGGTGAAAATACCAACCAGAGACACTGCGCTCCTTACTGTTCAATGTTTGCATTTCAACCATTCTTCTGTTTGCACTGCTGCAGTCACAAGTAAACAGGTGTCATGTTTAGAAGCTAAACGCAGACACGGGGCCATATTTACAGCTGTGTAACCAAGATACTTATGGGAAGTGGCAAATGTGCAGTGTCTGGCACCCCAGAAAGAAGCAAACCTGTTGTCATCGACATGTGTAAAGTTTATTTAGGCCTGAGCCATGGGTACCCAGGGCCCCAGTGCTGAGGCCATGTCTGTCTCAGCAGCAGAGCTGTGACAGCCCATCGCGGATGGAGCTTACATGGCTTGCATGTTATTTTCTGGCAGCAGTGGGATCTCCAGGACTTTGGTGTTAGACAGGATGGCCTCGTGGCTGGTGGTGGAGACGGTCTTCCCCGTGATCCGGTGCACCTGGTAGAAGGCGTGAGGCCGCAGCAAGCGGTCGTCTGCAGTCCCAATGAACAGCTGTAGCGTGAGTGGCTCGTTTTCCAAGTAGCCATGTAGCTGGCAAGAGAACAAAAAACTCACAATCAGCACCAAGCATGTAAATTGCTGGAGTCAATTAAATGTTAACCAGCAGACTGTAGCTCAAAAGGAAAACTGTGGTAGGAGCCCAGTTGTCCAGTCCCCAGCCTCCATTTCTCCATGATATAATATTGGTACCTTTTAAAGTTGTCACTTACAAAGTGACCCATTGTCCTAAGGGTCCTGAAGCCCAGAGGTTAGGTTTTGAACACCCCAATCCTATTTTCAAACACACACAACACATGTGTGTATGCATGCACATGCACGCACACACACTCTCACAAACACAGGCACACACCTGTACCCACACAGGCAGCGTGCTCATGTGCTCATGTGCACGGGTACCATCAGTACCTGTGACAGCACAGTGACACTCCTGTGCTCACTTCTCTCCAGGAAAGCTGGTGGGAAGAGACCACATGTCTCCAGCAGAGCCTTCCCAGGCAGCCCTTCTTCCCAGCCCCACCACTGTCCCATGTGCATCCAAAAGTGGTGTCTGAGAAAGGAGACAGCCTGTCATGTGGGTGAGTGGGGCTGGGCAATCGCACACGGTGGTGCCACCTCCAGAATCTGAGAGCCAAGCTTCCCTAATTGACACGCATGACCCCAAATACCAGGCCCCTTTCCCATACTCAACTTTGGTGAAACTAAACACAGTCCACTCTTGAGCAGTAAGCACTGTGCATACATGCACACACACGCAAACACACTCACACATGCACACACGAGTGTACACACACACTGTCTACCCCTCAAGGCCATTCTTTCATGACTGGCTCTGTCTGCCTCTCCTCTCTCAAAAGCAGGTGGCAGCAAACGCTGCCTTGCTGGCATGGTTACACTACTGAGACCTAGGCTGGCTGTGACCAGGCCAGCAAAACATCCTGTGTCAGAGGTGGACCCCATACAGCAAAACTACCCAGAGACACTGCCACTGTCCTCTCCACAAAATCCACAGGGCTCAAATAAGACCTGGCAAACCAGACCCAGAGCAACCCAAGTGCCTGCCGGATGCTGTGGGCGGCCCCAGGCCTGCACTTTGGAGGATGCCACCTTGTGACTTGTGTGCTGTGATGCAGCCTCTCTTCAGGAAAAATTACCAGAGTTTAGGAGGCAGAGTAGGGCCACCAGGCCTATGTCACACAGCCGTGTTCTCAGGAACAGCAGGGCCTGGAGGGAGGTGGCTGGGTCAGGCCCCCTGTGGTAGAAGGATCCTCTTTCTGCACCCCATGTGGGGATGGTGTGAGGACACCATGAGGACAGGAGAGGAGAGCGCACAGGACTCAGATGCTGCCCAGCACGAGAACTGCTCGGCCTGTGAACTGTGCTGGTTCCTCAGATCACTCTGTGATTGCTCTCACGGGACTAACTTCAGGTCTTTGAAAACAGACATCCATGGTGACACACTGACATTGGAAGATCAGCTTACACTCTCCTAGGGCAGGACAGAGCCACAAGAAATGCTGCTGATGCTATTAAGTGAGAAAAAATGCCAGTGTCGCCATTCGAAGGCAGAAAACCGTCTGTCAAGCCAAGAGCCCAGAGCCGGCAGCCTCAGCTCAAGTCTCTGCCCAGCCCTCGGGTCAGGTGCACTGCATTCTCAGGTGGAGTCAGGGGCCTCACAGAATGCAGATGATGTGTCTGGCATGGGACAACCCCAGTACCTGACTGCCGGAGGATACTTGAGTGAGGAAGAACAGGATGCACAGAAGTAGAGGGAGGATCAGCCAGGCGCCTCTGCCTTCATCCCCAAGCAGCCTCCGGCCATTCTATCGAGTCCACCCCATGAGTCAGGCCCACTATGCCCAGAGCCCCCTGATGTCAGGAGGGAAGCCCATGAAGATTGATGCATGCAAGTCTGGATGCCACCGATGTCTGGATTAGGCTTCTTCCTGCTCTGTGGCTGGAAGAGGTCTCCTGAGCTCACCACTGGCAGTCTCACTAGAGGGTCAGCCCAGAACCTGCCATGGGGTCCTCAAGGGAAGAGATGGATGCTGTCAAGAAGCCTGACCATAGGATGGGCAGAGTGGCTGGAGGCTGGAACACAGCACAGGGAGCCAAAGTAGACACGAGGGTGGAGGTGAGCTGAGGAGGCCCTGGAGTTTGGTTTTAGGGACATAAAACAGGAGGCTGAGGGATGGTGCCCACATGGAAATACCCAGTGGGCATTGGGGGGGTTGTCCCATAATGGGGAGGTGAAACTCCACGGCAGGAAAGGAAAAGGGAGAGAGGGGAGAACATGGGAAGAGAGGGAATGCAGGCGCCCAGTTCTGACCCACTTACTGCCGGCCTTTCCAGCATAATTCTAACCTCACGGGTTGGGGGAGGTTTGTGACTTTCATTTTAATATGCCAATTTGGAAAAAACAATGAACTTCAGAAATGGAAAACAGAAAATCAGACAGTGCAATTAGTTGTTGCTGGATTTTGATGTGGGCAGTGGATATTGGCTTTTTACAAGGTGGCTGGTCTCTCACATGTCCCTCACGCAAAGACCCTCGGCCACAGCCTCTGGCCTGATGCAAGCTGGGCAGCTCATTATGAGAGGCCACGGCGCTGTGAGTTTTATTAACTTCTGATCCTCCAGCACATGGCACGTGGCCAGCGCTAACACTGCCACAAGATAAAAGGACCCCGGGCTGGGAGCCCACTTCAACAGGTATGGTTTGCATCCTCTTGTTCAATTATCAGCCTTACGGCCACCAGCAGCAGTAAAGAATGTTCTCGGTTGCATCAAAGGCTAAGAGGAGGGCAGACACAGTAATTTGCTGCCTCAGTAAGCAAGGGAGGTCCTGGGCTGGGTAGAGGCTCAGCAAAGGGCTCCTTTCTTGAGGGTGTAGAGGGACCACGCTAAAAGCAAAAGCACGTGACAGAGACTGCCAGTACCTCCCCTACAACCAGCCTGAGAGAGCTCAGTCCTCTTTCCTGTTGAAGAGATAACACCATTGGCAACTTTGAGGGGCAGGCAGAAGTGAGGTGGTCCCACCGCAGGGCTGACCCTGCGCCTGACTGATTTGTCTAGAGGTTTGTCTGCAGAGAAGTTTCTGTTTCCCAGCAGCCAGTCCTGTGGAGCTGCTGCCAGGAGGTCATCCTAAGCAGGTTAACATCTTCCTCCCCAGTGCAACAGAGCCTCAGACAGCTCAGCACGGGGAGTTGGATTTAAGAGTAAGAAGTGGCCTGGGGCCCTGTGACTGTTGACTCAGGGAACCTGACACCTGTGTCCACAGTAGCTCAGAATGGCAGGAGCCATGAGTAAAAACCATATTACCGAGAAAGTCTCTGTCACTGCCGACTTCCAGAAAGAGAGATGCAGACATTCATAAATTGAAGTCCTCAGGCAAAACCCCATAAGATGTGCTGCCCAGCACTCAGGACAGAGATTTGCACAGTCAGCAAGTGGGGTGCCAGGACAGGACATGCTCCCAGTCCACCCCAGGAAGCAGAGATGGAGATTTCTGAGTACAGGAAAGCAGTCTTGTCATGATGGCCTACTAGGCAGAGCAGAGCCAGAAAGAGTGCTCATGGTAGCCCTCACTACTGGGAGACTGACCCAAACACCCTTTCACCTGGTCTACCTGTCTCTGTGGTCCACACCCTACAGGATGTCACAACTGTGGATACAGAAGCTGTGCTGTGAAGATGTATTCTCACAGTGGAATTAAACCTGCAGCCCTGACACTCCTGGATACCAGCAGTGGGCTATTTGGGGGGTCTCTGTCCCGCCATGTTTCTGGGCAGTGTTAAGAGCACCCCTGATGAGTGTTTAAAAGCAGGTGCTCCTCACAGGCTGCAGAGCACCAGGCAGAGGCTCTGACCTCACAGGGGTAGAGGAGGAGCCCTGGGCAGGACCGTCTGTGTGGCAGATGGATGTAGAAATGGTTCATTCCCACTGTCCTGCACACGTGTGCTCACAGACACTCTTCCCACACGTTCTGGACTCTGGATCTGATCAGAAGGATCTTTTTGTGGCTTGCAGCACAAGGTACAAGCCTGTTTCTATCTTTGTCTGTCACACGGTCACAGCGTCCGTGGACTTGATCTCTGAGATGGACTGCTCCATTATGAAAAGGTGAACATTTGCCACTGACTGCCCATGCAGGTGTACTGGCATGTGTGGAGGATGTCTGCTGACCTCCAGTCCCTAGCCTTTCTTGAAGAAGCTCAGTGATGCTGCAGTGGGAACTGTGGTCAGCACCAGTTGAAGTAAGGGAGCACAGGGGTCCCCCATCTCATCCGCCCACTGTGCGCCTGCCTGGCTGACCGTGCAGAGGCTCCACAAAGTTTCCTACCCGCGGCCATCAGCACTGAAAGTCTGCCTCCTCCACCCTTTGGCAACTGGATGAACTTACTAAGAAACCTTTACTCTGTTTTGGATTCAGATAGTTTTACCACGGCAAATGTAGAGATTCAGAGGCAATTTTGCCACTGACTATTCCATTTTGTGAAATTTAACACGAGAATAGGTAAATGGGTCTTTGACTAAAACCCTCTTGGTAGGCAAAGCAGAATAGCACAGAGCTTCAATCCGGCCTTGCCAAGGTCAGATGACTAAAATGACAAGTCAAGTCTCCCTCAGGACCCCTGTTGTGCAGGTCAAGTGAATGGAGTATAATTTTATCCTTCAGAAAACATGCCATTTCAGTGAAAATGGAAATATTTAAGGCTTAACCTTGGAGGTAAACATCTATTATTTAAAACAAGAAGTTCATTTTAAGAAAAGAAATTTAAACTCCTTCATATGTCGCCTGCTTGGGCCTTCTGCCTCTGGCATGTTATAGTGTCTGTCAGAATAGTCTTCACAAAGTTACCTGACATAACCATGACTTCTCTACTTACAACTAAACTAAACAAAATGCATTATTCCGTTTTCCAGGTGTAAGAGCTCCTGAGTTTCCAACGCATTAAAATGTTTGTTTTTAGCTCCTCTGCTTACCTCAGCACTTACAGAGAGAGACGACAGGCGAACAGACTGACGGAGGG